GATCTTCAAAGATCTTAGAAGAGATCTTCAAAGATAAAATCCTTTGAAGATCTCTCCCCGTGCATGTGTTCAGTTAGCCATATTCCCCGCATTTTTATGTGTATATTTCTCCAAAATTTAATTAAGAATTATTGATAAATAAATATAGGTATCTTTGTAGCTAAACTGGACAAATGTGGCAGCCCCTCAAATATTGGAACATTGATATCATCCTTAGCAATGCACTAATGTTAATTGGCACATTATATAACAGCAACATTAGTAGATATTTCAGTGGTGTAACTCACAGAATTTTTCATTAACAACATAATTATAGTAGCTATGCACCAATTCACCAATCAATGTTAGGTGATGGCTGAATAAAGATACGATGTTCTCCAACATAAAACAGACAAATAAGCAATCATGAAAAAGCTATTACATTCTCTCCTAGTCCATAATGTATCAATGCCTGTGCATTCTTCTGTATTGTGGATTATGTGCTTTCTACCTCTTGAATTTTCAGATGGCATAAGTAATGTGATTCATATTTGGTCAAATGTGGTATTTGAAAGCATTTTGGAAGTTAGTTTTGTAATTGTACAACTAGCAGCATGTTTGTGACCTAGAATAGGAGATAACTATTAATATCATACTTACAATTTCAGTTATGTATTGAATCATGAAATCATAGAATTGGAGGGGACTATTTAGGCCTTCAAGTCCAAACTCCTTTTTTGTGCAGGAATCAAAATTAAATTATCTCCAATTGGTGACTCTCTACTTCTACTTGAATACGTCCAGAGAACCCACCAGTGTCCAAGCAATTGAATCCTGTCAGAATACTCTTGCTATAGGATTTTCCCCTAATATTCATTTGGAATCTGTCTTCATGAACTTGAAATCCATATTGGTAGATTTATAGGAGCCTTGGTGGAGCAGCAGACTAAAGCGCTGTTAAGTAGCACTTAGCTGCCAGCTGCCTGCAATTACTGCGAGTTCAAATCTCACCAGGCTCAAGGTTGACTCAGCCTTCCATCCTTCCAAGGTAGGTAAAATGAGGACCCGGATTGTGGGGGCAATAAGCTGACTTTGTATAAAAAAGAACACCGCTTAGGGGGGGCCGAAAGCCCTACTAAGCAGGTATATACAAAAGTATGAAGGCTATTGCTTAACGCATTGTAAGCCGCCCTGAGTCTCCGGAGAAGGGCGGCATATAAATCGAACCAATAAATAAATAAATATTCTGTCCTGTTTTCAAGGAATGATGGAGACCTTTTTCCATTTAACATCCTTTCCAGGAGTATTAAGAGTGCTATCTTATTTCCCTTCAGTCTTCCTTTCATAAAGTTAAACTTTCTCAATCACTTTCTTCTTTTTTCATCTGATTATATTCAGAGCCATTCTTCAAACTAGATACAGTTTGTCTGAATTTTCTTAAATTGGGAGCTTGGAATTGGACAGAAAACTCCAAAATCATAGATTTTGGTACTAAGAAATAGTAGTAGTAGAACACCACTACTACTAATAGTAGAACACTAAGGCCACAGTATCACTGAGGCATACAGAAAATAATATAACATGAGGGGTTCTTGATGCTCTCTGAGCTCGGTTGTTTTCTTGCAGACATTTCATTAACCAAACTAGGTAACATCATAAATATTAGTCTGTTGAGGCTAACACTAACACTGATAATATTACCTAGTTCGGGTAAGGAAAAATCTACAAGAAAACAACCAAGCTCAGAGAACACCAAGGATCCTCATTTCAACCCTGAGCTACAAATATTCTCCTGTATTGGTACCAATAATACAATAATTTATTAAATTTCTATCCCATCCAATTCTCAATGATTCCAGGTAGCTCACAACATTCAAACAAATGACTATCAAATAAATAAAGTATGTAAAGATGGCAAGCATGATGAAGTGGGGTGGGAGAGTTTTAGCTCTTCCTTACTAAATACTTGAATGAAAAACCAGGCCTTCATGGCTCTTCCAAACAGGCAAAAAATCCAGGTATCATCATTATTATCATAATCTCTTCGTTTTATTTTTTTTATTGAATTTATTGCAATTTCTTTAATTGTTATGAGCCACCTAGAGTCACTGAGAATTGGGTTGCATACTAGTTTAATTATTACTATTACTATGATCTTCATAATAAGAAAATCTGTTTTTCATTATTACCTGACCTTTGTATAATTTATAAAGTGCATATAAAATGTAAGTTGTGGTGATGTTACAAAACATACCGGTACTTCTCATATTAGTCTTTACAAGTGGGAAAGCCTAGCAAAACATATTATTCTGATGCTTTGTATCTTGTCATTCTTTCTCCTGAACATTCCATTTAAATTCATAAGCATTATATCATAAGTGCTATATCTTCATAACATTCTTCTGCCTATTTTCAGTAATTTCTATATTTGCAGTGCAACATCTCTGTTGGCATGCTGGTACTGCATCCTGGTACTGTCAGAAAATGCAACATTTTTAAAAAGCATTTTATAATCAAGAAGAAAAAAGCTTTCAATCTAATCTCTTTTCTCGAATGTTCCCTTGTAGCTGTTATTCCCATTTCAAAGTAGTCCCTGGGGGAAGTTGTATTTAACAATTTATAGTTTCATTTCCCCCGTTTTCTATCCAACCTTTCTACCACTTCTTTAATCTATGCAGATTAAACTTTTGAGTAGTTCCTAAAAAGACCATTCACTTCCGCTTCTTAATTTATCTAACAGTATTGCTGGAGATTCTTATCATTCTGTTAATGTTCAGGGGAGCCAAATGCTATAATCATTCAGGTTGAGGGAGGAAAATCCACATACTGTATTCTCAGATGAAATTTTACTGTTCTTTTTGCTTACATTTGTGAAACTCCACGATTCTTTTGAAATGCAGTGCAGTGTAGTGGTTAAAGACACAAGGGCTGAAAGTGGGAGACTATTGAGTTCTAGTCCTGGCATAGGCAGAAAGCCATCTGGGTGACCTTGGGCCACTAACTCTTTCTCAGCCCTAGGGAAAAGGCAATGACAAATCTTGGCAAGAAAGCTGCAGGAACTTCTCTATGCAATTGACAGAAGTCAAGTCTGACTTGATGGCACAAAGAAAAAACTCCCTTAATTTTAAATTCACATATGTGAACTTAACAAATCTAGTTTTATGAAAACTTGTAGAATATGTTGTTCTCTTTTAAGTACTGTAACTAGTAATTATATTTAAAGGCGCAGGAGAACTACTAGTTATAACATATCACTAGCATAGACCCCAATATCTGTGCTTTCAATACCAATCGTGAATGCTACGCCCCTTGAATATTTGTAGGGCTGAACATGCACCCACATAGAAGTTCAGCTCCCATGGGGTCTTTATACTGTATATGTAGACTATCCTGTATCTGATGTCCACATCTGACATGAATGGCTTTTTTTAATGTGAACACCATGTGGAAGAGAGTTGCAAGAGACGATATAACAAAGACTCACTAGAAAAATGAGAAATAAGTACACACATAAGCTTGGTGATTGCTTTTATATGGAGATGATAAACTTATTTCTTAGCCCCATAGTTATCCATAGTGGTTCCTCTAGAAACCTTCCAGCTATTGCCCTCTCAGACCAGGGGAGTCCTTGTAGGCTTTTCTTGAGATATTGCTAAAACTTCAAAGATATTTCTTAGATGCTGGAAGACTACTGCTATTCCTGCAAAAAAGCCTTGGTAGCCACTGAGGTGGATAGAAATAGCTTGCTATTTACTCTTCATCTTTGTGCCCAAATGAAATGGTGAGACTAGAAGGTGCTTAGAATAGTATCTGGCAGTGCAAGATGCAGAGTTGCTAGGAGACAGATGAAGGTGGATAGATTTACCCAAAGTAGAATCCTTCAGGTATACCAGAAGCTGCAGCATTCAGGATACTGCACCTTAAGCAGGAATGCACAATTCTGATGACAGAAGGGGGCAGTGCCTCATGGTCAGGGGTATTCTGAGGGGAGAGGAGATTTTTTGTGATGGGACATACCTCAGAAGTATAACCAAGTAGATGCAGAGATCAGTGCTGAGTCTGGAAAGGACCGCTTGGCAGGCAGTTCTGGAAATAGGTAAATGGTGGAGCTGGTAGGGCTGGTGCAGTCTAAAAAGGCAACTTGTTTATATGCTGGCTTTTGCAGCCTTGCTGCAGTTCTATTGCTCACCTTGGATTCCTACATTCGCAGCTGAACTCGGCCTTCTTTTTTTGTGAGTACAGTACCTGGGATAGAGAATCAGAAGGAGCGTCGCGGAGGCGGGGGGGGCATCAGCAAACCAGTGGCGGGGCCAGTTTGCGTTTCCAATGTAGAGGCGATGCAGTAAAGACAAGCGCGAAGGCAGTCTCCGCTCTGCCCTTGGGAAGAATCCGCGTCCCGGAAAAGGACAGGGCTGAAGCTAGAGGGAGGTCGCGCCAAGGAATCTGGATGAGAGGCATTAGTAAATATTAACCCCACCCACCCACCATAGCTCTTGCTCCAAGTAGGAAAAGGGGTTGGGGTCCTCCGAGAGGCGATCAAAACGCAGGAAGATTATTGCATATTGCAAAAGCAGCAGCGACCTTGGGAAATGTCATGAAGGAAGCGGCAATGACTGCGAGGCACAGAGGGAAGGGGTGGCGGGAAAGTGCGCGGGCGCGCGAGCCAGCAAGCTATCTGGAATTGACTAGAAAAAGTAAATACGAGAATTGGAGGAAAGAGGATTGCAGTTTTCAAAATCACTTAAATCGGAAACCCAAATACCTCGAGGAGGAGGAGTTTTCTAAGTGTAGCTGACAAGCAGAATGTTTTTGGAAGTTCTTTCCTTTCTCATTTGTATATCTCAGTTTTTGGATGGATAATCCCTCTATTAAGACCAAAATTTTGCTTTTAGGATATGTTTGTGGAGTGATGGATAGTAGTAGTAATAGCAGCAGTCGCCATCACAATAATAGCTGCAGCAGGAACAATAAAAGTGAATCTCAAAGAACTCTGAGTCTTACCATCCCTTTTGTAGCTCCGGATGTCAGAGCACAGCAGCACCACAGATGGGGATGTGGACCCCCAGCATGGCTTATATATGCTGATCCTGCTGATTTTGGTCTTCTTTGTCATGGGTCTTGCCGGCTTTCTCATTTGCCATATCCTAAAGAAAAAGGGATACCGCTGTAGGACATTCAGTGATGAATTTGACTTTGACAACAAGGAATCACTGACACAACTCCAAGATGGTAAGTAACTGGAAGGTGGGATGGGGAGCGAGAAACTAAATTTCTTGGCAGCATCTTTTGCAACTCAGTTGTGATGAGGAGTTCAGTCAAGCCAGAAACTGCTCCTTAATTCTAAAGTCGCAAGCATGGTGCTTTAAAACAGTATATTCTATTGCATGGGTAGTCAACCTTATTATACCTACCGCCCACTTTTGTATCTCTGTTAGTAGTAAAATTTTCTAACCGCCGACCGATTCCACAGTAATGGTGATTTATAAAGTAGGGACAAAACCCCTACTGCCCACTATGAAAGCGGGAACACCCACTAGTGGGCGGTAGGGACCAGGTTGACTACCACAGTTCTATTGGGTAAATCAGATTTAGGATGATATGCAAGAAGGAATCAAGCTTATATAAGTGGTTTAGTGGAGGGCTCAGAGATTTCAGATCAGCCACTATCAAATTTGGCATTTCCCATCCATCTACACTTGTCTAGCATCTCTGTGAGTGGTATTGTTATTTCTAAAATGTAGAAACATAGTTCCTAGTCTAATATGTGTTGGGTTGTAGCTACTACCACTTTTGATAATTTGAGGTAAATTGACACAGAACTAAAGTGAACTTACATCAAAGCAGAATGTACATAGTTGTCTTTTCTATTCTCCTGATTTTGCAACTCATTTAGTTTTATTGTGAAAATATCCTGACAATTGGAGTCTGAGAAATCTCCCCAACCAGATGGGTTTCAGAACCAGACTGTGGGAGGGGTGGGACTGGAGCAGTGAATATAGGCAATCCAGTCCTAGCCCAAAGACCCTCCAGGGTTTAAGAGCTGTTTCCATTAATGGAGATGATTCAAATTGACATGAGCTGCCAAAGGAGTTGTGGTATCGGCATAGATAGTAATAACTGAAGAAGCCAAAACAGAGAGGCCTGTTAGGGTACAATTAATCTTCATTCTTTAAATGAAAAACCTTTTAACAAGATTAACAATTGGCCATGTTTAGACATAAAAATAGTTTCCCTAAAATCCCAAATATTGTTTGTGCTACTTCCATTTTTCATCCTCTTCTTTTGAAGAAAATGACTCCATTTGTCTTGAAATTGTCTGATACTAAAAAGATTTTAAAATGTGATTTTATTAACTTAGGTTTTAGTGTTCAAATTATGCATGCATCAACAATTTAGTGACAGGAAATTGCATTCCAATTTTTCTAAATAACTTATACTTTTATAAACATGCATTTACAATTGTGTATAAAATACTGCTTTGTGCAATGACATGTGGTACATGTTGTAAGAGATATACTTTTCTTGCTTCATGGGCATATTGTTTCTAAGAATAAGTCACCAGAAAAAGAAACTGGCTATAAAACAGGGTTTTTCTTACTATCCTTCATGTATAAGCTAACATTTAGAAACATTCGTTTCTTTATATGATGATATCAAGTACTAAAATAAGGAGATTAAATTACTTTGTACAGTGTTTCCCTGAAAACAAGTCCTATCCAGAAAATAAGCCCTAGCTTGATTTTTACACGTGCCCCCTACCTCCAAAATAAGCCATAGTTAAGACCCCGCCCACCTGGTTGCACGAGGTGGGGCGAGGTGCATGGGTAAAAATTAAGCTAAGGTGGGGATGGTGGGGTGGAGCTGCCTCACATGCCCTGCACCCACTTACCTTAAGACAGTTGCAGCCAGGCCTCTTATACCCCCAACATCTGCCTCACCTTGCTGGCCCACTTCTTCTGTGGTGGCTTGCCACCTCCTTGTGCATGTTGCCCCCGGCTTCTGTTTCACCATCAGAGACCTTCAGGAAAGGGCTCTGCAGCTGAGAAACGAACTCCGGATTGATACATACGTTGCCCCTGGCCTCTGTTTCACTGTCAGAGGCCTTTCCGAAATGGAGGCAGTGGGGGGTGCTGCTGCACACATTAATCCGTAGCTCATTTCTCCGCTGGCAGAGGCCTTTCCTGAAGACTTCTGATGGTGAAGTGGAGGCCTGGGGGCATTGCATGCATCAATCCAGAGCTCGTTTCTCAGCTGCAGAGCCCTTTCCTGAAGGCCTCTGACAGTGAAACGGAGGCCAAGGGGCGCAGCACATGTCAATCCAGAGCTCGTTTCTTGGCTGCAGAGGCTTTTCCTGAAGGCCTGTGATGGCGAAATGGAGGCCGGGGGGGTGCTGCGTTCATCAATCTGGAGCTTGTTTCTCAGCTGCAGATACCTTTCCTGACAGCCTCTGACGGCAAAATGGAGGCCATGAGGTGCCACGCAGGAGCGGCGGCAAGCGGTCACAGAAGAAGTGGGCTGGCAGTGGCCACACATGCTCCTGCTGAGCGGGTCTGTCAGTGTCACCACCACAAGATGAGACAGTGGAAGACATTCCCTGAAAATAAGACCTAATGCCTCTTTTGGAGGGAAAAAAAGACCAGGTCTTATTTTCAAGGAAACACGATGAAATGAAATGTGAAATGAAAGAAATGGAGTAGGAAATCAGCATCACAGAAAGAATGGTAAAAATAACAGGAGACAAGAAGTGGAAATGCTGGCTAAAGGTATATAGGCAACTGTTGCTGTTCTAAAGTCTCCCAGGAGATTCTTAAACAGAAGAAGGCAAAATGTGGGCTGGAATATTTTACCATTAGATAGATAAAAAGTTGGTTGAACAATCATATCCAATAAATGTGTGCCAATGGTACTGTCAAGGCTTCGACTAATAAACCCAAGCAAATCAGAACTCTGAGACTTGGCTTCTTCTCAAAGGTCTTCTTTAATGAGTACATTATATTGACACAGCTTCAATGGAAAACCAAATCTAAATCTTTCCCGCAGTCTCAGTATAAACTAGGAAATAACCCCATCCCCAAGTGTTACAGGTCACATTGGCCAATTGGGTTAATTCGCGGGCTCTTCAGGCACTCCTTCCCTACCGTTATCTGTTGCCAGTAGAGATTACCTTGGTTCTCACGAGAAAGCTCTTTGTTGTGTGTAGTAATGCATTCCAACCTCCTTCCCCCTTCACCCTCTGTGTGGCAACTGAGGAATAGAAAGATGGCTGCGGCCAGGTTCAGTCCGAAGTTGACAGGTACCAGTGATATAGTACAGGTTCCATTTTACATTACTGTTCTGGGTATCTTAGCAGATCACAAGTTGAACATGCAGTTGGAGAAGGAAGGAAGGAAAGAAGGAAGGAAGGAAAGAAGGAAGGAAGGAAGGAAGGAAGGAAGGAAGGAAGGAAGGAAGGAAGGACGGACATCTTAAATTGGATCAAGAAAAGTAAAGTGTCAGGATTAACAAAAGTCATTATTCCTGCCCTTTCTTCATTTGTTAGAACCAGATTTTTAAAAAGTCACTCACAAACTAGAATATGTGCAAAGGATAGGGAACATGAAATAAAAAATTATGAGAAATGTTGGGAAGCACTGGGTATGTTTAAGCTGAAAAAAAAAGATGGTATTGAGACGCCAAAGATATCTTCAAAGTATTTGAAAAGGTGTTATGTACAAGACTAGGCAGAATTCTTTCAAGTTGTTTCAGAAGACGGGAAGAACAATGAATTTAAAGTGGCAAGGAACTGTACATCAAGAAAAAAATCTTAATGGTAAAATCAGTTTTAGAATTGAATGGCTCACCCTAGATGCTGGTTGGATACTCTTTCATTGAATGCATCTAAACACAAACTGGATGGATAGATGTCAAAGCTGCTGGATTTCTATATTGGCCTAGATGAGCTCTAACTTCTTTTCTGAAAGTGGCAAAGTAAATATTTGATGGATATTATAATAAAATATTATGAGGGAATAGAAGGGGAACTCATCAAATTTGTAGATGATAGTGTTAGAATAAATATCCTTCTGGGTTCAGCTCCAAGTGGGGAAAAAGACACTGGAAACATGGAGACTGCTTGGAAAGATAGTTTAATGGTGGATAGGATCACATGGCTTGAGTACCTGAACAGAAAAGGGCAGAGATGCTGAGCGTGCCTTGGTTTTATGCCCTCTCTGGCTTTGAACTTCCTGGGGCCCAGAAAGAGTATCCCGATTGGTTATCAGACTCCCAGGGGGTGGGGGTCTTAGCTAGCCTTGCTGACTGATGTAATCTTCCCAAGTGCCATGTGGTGAGTTTTTGTTGCTAGATGGGTCCCATTGTGTTAGTTTCTGTTGCTAGATGGGTCTTATTGTGTTGCAGATGATGGTCCTTTGACAAAGGATTGGGTTTCTGCCTCTGGCCCATTGACAAAAGGAGAGGGGGAGGCAGGAAGGTGGGAGCTGCTTTGTCTTTAAAACATGTTTCTCCATTTCTCATCCAGGGAAATATATTCTGCCTTTTTAAGATTTCCTAAAATATTTCATTCTTCTAGAAAAGGGGTGGGTGCTAACTTCCTACAATAGTAAATTGGCAGGAATAGCCACCACCCCAGAAGACAAGCTCAGGATCCAAAAATATCTTGACAAACTTGAACAATGGGCTCTATCCAACAAAATGAATTTCAATGTGGAGAAAAGCAAAGTTTTACATTTAGGCAGGAAAAATCAAAGGTATAAGCCAAAAAAGCCAATGCTGCTTTAACAGAGGGATACAATCAAGAGCAAGTGAGGTACTAATACCACTCTATAAAGCCTTAGTAAGACCACACCTAGAATACTGCATCCAGTTTTGGTCACCACACTATAAAAAAGATGTTGAGACTCTAGAAAAAGTGCAGAGAAGAGTAACCAGGATGATTAGGGGACTGGAGACTAAAACATATGAAGAAAGTTTACTGGAACTGGGCATGGCTAGTCTAGTGAAGAGAAGGACCAGAAGACCTCCAAGGCCCCTTCCAGCTCATTCTGTTCTGCTCTGCTCTGCTCTGCTCTGCTCTGCTCTGCTCTGCTCTGCTCTGCTCTATTCTATTCTATTCTATTCTATTCTATTCTATTCTATTCTATTCTATTCTATTCTATTCTATTCTCTTTTCTATCCTATCCTATCCTATCCTTATTATTTTATAATACCAATGTATGATTAAATATAGAAGAATATGGTTCAGCATTTTATATCATTCAATGGACAGTGTAGAAGAACCAATTTTCAAGAGAACTGAAATGGTATTGTTGTCAACCTATTGCATAGTCATCCTGCTTTCATGTTTTGTATGCTTTTTCAAAATAAACTGCATTCATCAGCATAGAAATTAAAAATTACTATTGAGATCTTTTCCTGCCAGAGGTTTTTCCATCTTTTTGGTTTGGTGTCCTTAATTAAATAGTTCCTTTAGTAAATCAGCCCTTACAATTGACTTTTTTTTGCAACCAAAATTAACATTCATTCATTATTCATTCATTTTTTTGTTTCAAATAACCAACCAATTGTTCTCATGTAATGATCAATTGTTGTACCAGGAAAAAAATTAAACAAATAATAAGCACCTGTAATTTTAGATTACAGGATTAAAGGATTACCTAGAATTTTGAAACTGCACAAGGGAAATAACAAACAGAAGGGTGTTGTTGGAGGAGGGGCCATATTGAAAGAAAAGGACAAAACAAAAATAATTAAGGGTTTGTAACTGGGCAGTATTTGGGGGTTTTCAGGATTCTTAGAAGGTCGCACTAATTACTGGAGTTACAATTACTCTTTTTTTACTTCTATATTTCGTTTTCTTTTAGATGATGATGAGGATCTGAATGAGGATACTGTAGAAAAAAATAGTGAAATGTATCATTCAAAATGAAGGTGGGCATAACTTTGGCTTAGTTAAGTAAAGCCGTAGCACCTGGGGCCTTGTTCTGATACATTTTTATTTTCTTCCCTTTTTAGCAAATGTTGAAGTTCTGAAAGAAATGCTTGGAGAAAGTGATGCTGATCTCCCACTGCCAGTGCCTGTACCCAGGTGAGGAGAGCATATAGGTTCAATTTGGTATAAATCACATCTTGAGAATCTCTCATGTTTTCCTTCTTCCTTCCCTCAGTCATGTGACTAAATCACATGATATAGTAGTGAGTGTATATAGGTATGTATGTGAATGACATACATTCTGCCTTATTATTCATTTTCAACATAACATAAGTGTAATGGAGATTACTGGCCATAGGAGGGTAAGTTTAAAAGCTCTCCTCAGTCATCTGTCTTGTAATCCCCCCACAATGCCACTAAGTGCTAATTGAGGATTTTCTTCCTGATTCTTTCAAATCCCAGAGGCAGGGAAAGAATGTGGTTGGAGAGGAAATATTTAGAGGTCTGCCCCCAGCATATCCTATGGGGTCTACTAGGATAGAGAAGAGTGGTAAGAAGAGCTGCATATTGAATGCATATGTGTAGTTTTCACTCTGTTTGAATGACCAGATTAGATGTCTGTCATTCAGAGGAGCTAAACATATTGCAGCCCATCTTTTTGTAGTAGGATAAAAAACCAGAACAGAAGGTCAGGCTCAGATGGCCCTAGTTAATTGTGTTGATGCAGGATGTTACATTGTTGTATAGCAATTGTGTAATGTTCTTATACAGTTCCTATTTATTTCATTTGGGCCTCAGTAGATGTATTTTGAAGAGAATGGAGTTTCATGGATTATATTTTACTATCCAGGAGTTTGAAAATAGTCTGAGTGGAAGTCTGATTTTGCCTTCCAGTGCAGGTTTCTCTGTGTTGGCTCTATGTTATATGTACTAATGGGGTTTGCTTTAGAATTTCATTTATGTAACTGCTAATCTTTAAATCTAATGGCTCTTTTCTCCAGTGCTCTATGCCCACATCGCAGCAGCCAAGATGGTGGCATTCCTCATCACCACACAGTGCACTTAGGTTCAACACAAGCACCTTGCATTCATTGCAGCAAGAAAAAGAGACCTCCCATACATCGTCAGGGCCGGTTAAAAGAGAGCAAAAGCAAGATGCACCCTGGGGAAACAACAGTCTTTTCAGTTGGCAGGTAGGTGTTAGTTTGCATTCTATAGAAGAGTTTTGGATTAACTCACAATAAGTATCTAATGAAATACAAGAAGAGTAATAGTGTCAGATTCTAAGGCATAAGAAAGCCAGTTTGATGTAGTAATTAAGACTAGAAATTGGGAGACTGTGAGTTCTAGTCCCAACTTAGTCACAAAGTCACTCTTTTTCAGTCCTAGAAAGGAGTCAGTGGCAAACCAATTTTGAAATCTTGTCCAAAAATTAAAGGAACTCAATGAGTGGAAGCTCATTAAAGAGACATCCAACCTGGAGTTAAGGAGAAATTTCCTGACAGCTTGTTTCCAAGGGTTGTGGGTGCTTCCATCACTTGGAGGTTTTCAAGAAAAAATGGACAGCCATTTCTCTGGGATGGTATAAGGTCTCCTGCCTTGGGCTGGAGTTTGGACTCGAAGATTTCTCCCGGAAAAATCCTGGAGCATTGGGGAAGTACCTGAGGATTGGAAAAGGGCTGATGTGGTTCCCATCTTCAAGAAAGGAATAAAAAAAGACCCAGGAAACTACAAACCAACCAGTCTAACATCAATACATGGGAAGATCCTGGAAAAGATAATAAAAAACCAGATCTGCAAACAAGAAGCAAATAAAGTTATAACTAGTAGCCAGCACAGGTTTGTTAAAAACAGATCATGCCAAACCAATCTTATTTCATTCTTTGATAAAGTCACTAAATTAGTAGACCAGCGAAATGCTGTGGACATAGTATACTTAGATTTCAGGAAGGCATTTGACAAAGTAGACCACAATCTACTTCTTGGTAAGCTAGAAAAATGTGGAATAGATGGATCACCACCAGATGGATTTGTAACTGGCTGCAAACTATACTCAATGAGTAGTCCTTAATGGTACTACATCCACATGAAGAGAAGTAAGCAGTGGGGTACCACAAGATTCCGTCTTAGGCCCAGTAGTCTTTAATATTTCACTAATGACTTAGATGAGGGAATAGAAGGGGAAATCATCAAAGTTGCAGATGGTACTAAACTGGCAGGAATAGCCAACACCCCAGAAGACAAGTTCAGAATCCAAAAAGATCTTAACAAACTTGATCAATGGGCCCTATCCAACAAAATGAATTTTAATGTGGAGAAAAGCAAAGTATTACATTTAGGCAGGAAAAATCAATGGTATAAGTACAGATTAGGCGAGGCCTGGCTCAAAAACAGTAACTGTGAAAGGACCTTGGAGTCCTAGTGAATGATCTCTTGAATATGAGCCAGCAGTGTGCAGCAGCAGCCAAAAAAGCTAATACAATCCTGGGTTGTATAAACAGAGGCATAGAATCAAGATCATGTGAAATATTAGTGCCGCTTTATAAAACCCTAGTAAGACCACACCTGGAATTCTGCAACCAATTTTGGTCATCATACTACAGAAAAGATGTTGAGACTTTGGAAAAAGTTTAGAGAAGAGCAACTAAGATGATTGAAGGCCTTGAGACTAAACCATATGAAGAATGGATGCAGGATTTGGGTTTGGCTAGTCTAAAGAAAAGAGGAAAGAGGGGTATCATGATAGGAGTATTCCAGTATTTGAGGGGCTGCCACAAAGAGGGGATCAAATTATTCTCCAAAACACCAGAGGGCAGGACAAGAAACAATCGTTGGAAACTAATCAAAAAGAGAAGCAACCTGGAATTAAGGAGAAATCAACAACTACTGACTGTGCAATTGAGATCCTCTCAGGAGCTAAGCTACCAAAGCCGAAACTCTACTTCATGACACCCTGGGAGCTAGATGAACTGCACAATTTCATAGACAAAAACTTAGAGCGTGGCTTCATCCAGTCTGCTAGATCCAAAGTAGCTGCCCTGGTACTGTTCCAGGAAAAGAAAGATGGCTCACTTCATTTATGCATTGATTATAGAGGTCTAAATGCAGTGTGCATGGAAAATGTATACCTCCTACTCCTCGTGAAGGACATGCTGGACTACCTTTCAAAGGGCAAGATTTTTTCTAAGCTGGACTTGTGGGAAGCCTATTACCAAGTCAGGATTTGGGACGGGGATGAGTGGAAGATGGCTTTTAACTGCCCATTGGGGTGTTTTCAGTGCTCCTGTTTGGACTCCAAGGGGCCCCTGCAGTGTTCATGCAGCTAATAAATAAGGTGCTGCATGAAGACCTATATAACAGTGTTTTGGTGTACCTTGATGACATCTTGATATATACCGAAACAAAAGCTGAGCACATAAAGCTGGTACGGGCAGTCCTGAAAAACCTCTGAGCTGCCAAACTATACGCTAAGCTCTCAAAATGCAAATTCCACAAAGACAAAAAAGACTATCTGGATCTCGCACCAGGGGGTAGAATTGGATCCGGAAAAAGTGTGAGCAGTGTTAGAATGGGAAGCCCTGTGCACCCAAAAACAGCTACAAAGCTTCCTAAGGTTCACAAATTTCTATAGGCAATTCATCCCATCATTCACTCAAATCGCCCTCCCTATTACTAACTTGCTGAGAACCATGGGAGTAGATAAGCCTAAACCCAGCCAACCACTAAAGTGGAACATGAAATGCCAAGTAGCATTCGAGAAACTAAAAAAGCTCTTCTCAGCTGAGCCAGTGTTGAAACACCCAGACCCTCCAAAACCCCTTTGTGATTCAGTCTGACGCCAGTGATGTGGCAATGGGGACTGTGTTGCTTCAGGAAAATAAGGGGGGTCAGCTACAACCCTGTGCATACACATTGAAAAAACTAACCGAAACTGAGCAGCATTGGGCAATATGGGAGAAAGAAGCATTTGCAGTCAGATGGGCTCTCCTCACTTGGCGACACTTCCTGGAAGGGAATAAAATCTCTTTCCAGGTATGGACCGACTACAAGAATCTGAAAGTCCTAAAGGCCCCAAGGAAAATGTCCCCCAAGTAGCATGTTGGGCCCAGTACTTCCAGGGATTTAACTTCACCCTCCACTATTTGCCGGGGGGGAGAGGGGGAACTTCTTGGCAGACACTTTGTCCAGACTGCCCCAATATAACAGTGCAAAGACAGAAGTAGTTAAACCCATGCTTCCCGTATCGCAATTAGCAGCACGGGTCATCACAAGATAGCAAGCAAAAGGGGAACTCCACTGCAGACAACACCATCACTGTAGCCTTTAAACAGGCCCTAGAGAAGGATAGTGGTTCCTTAACCACAAAAACACTTGCTTCATGCAAGACAGACTACCCTGGGTGGGAGGCAAACTCTTATGTCCCAGCTAGTGAAAGACTAAAAACCATGCAACCTGCCATGATTCCAAATTGGCAGAGCACTTTGGGTTTGTAAAAACTCTGCACCTCCTGAAACGACAATTTTGGTGGCCATCCCTTAAAAAGGACATTGAAAGTTATGTTGCCAGCTGCCCCACCTGCGCAGTGGCAAAGTGCAGGCAGGGAAAAATTCCTGATCTCTTGCAGCCGGTAGCTGCAACTTCAGCACCCTGGAGAGAGATTTCTATGGATTTTATCATAGAACTTCCAGAGAGCTCCAGAAACAGAGTAACTTGGGTGGTGATGGACCTTTTTTCAAAACAGGTGCACTTTGTCCCATGCCAGAAAATCCCAATGGCCAAAACTCTAGCAAAGCTATTCTTACTTCATATATACTGCTTACATGGCACTACACGCCAAATTATATCAAATTGGGGGATCCAGTTCACCTCCAAATTCTGGAAAGTTTTTGGGACCTTTTGGGAAGCAACCAGGGCCTCTGTTGTAGTCACAATCCTCAAACAAATTGGGCGATGGAACTGTTCTGACCTAGGCTTCCTGATATAGTAAAAAGCACACAATTAGTCCCCACCCCCCCTTTTTTTAACGGCTGTGAATTCCTTTCATTCACAGCACGTGCTGAATCACCGAGTTTATAAATAGTTCAACAGAAGTCTGCCACAGTCCTTCGGATAAAGCTGGTAAACACCCACCTTTATCTTCTTTGACACCCTGCCAAAGATCTAATTGGCAATTATCTTGGCAAGGCCACACAGAAACACAGAGTCAAAAACAGAGCTTCAAAGTACAAACTGACACCATCCACAATGTTGCTTCCTGCAAAGGCCCACATGCCTTTGCTCTTCCTTTATGTCTTATGGGAGGGGCCAATCATCTCCAAGCCTTACTCCTGAGTCTGAGTTTGTTTTAACTGTTCTTGCCTTCTGGCAGCTCTGTGAATGCGCACATAGGAACAGGCTCCCCCTGTTCCTCTGCCTCTCTGATGACTGACTCTGGAGGCTCCAGAGTCTGCACATAACTCCCAGATGGCCCTGGCCCCATCTGCCTCCAATGCAGAGCCCTCATCCAAGCCTTCCCCAGACTCCAGGACTGGCCCATGTTCCTCCCCAGCCTCCTCACTATCTGACTCTGCTGCCAGCTTCGCAGGCTGCTGGTGGATCACAACAGGAACAAATTAACTCAGTTCTGGAACAATACCTCCAATGCTTTATTAACTACCAACAGGATGACTGGACTTAACCTGTTGCCATTTGTGGAGGTAGTGTACAACAATTCAGTGCACACCAGCAAGGGTTTTACCCCATTCCAAGTAGCCACAGATCAAGAATTTAACCTGATGCCTGAACTACCCACTATTGAACTAACAATCCCCTCCCTAAAGGAGTGGATCAATCAGCTAAAGACCACCTGGCCTATGATCCACAAAGCCCTAGACCAGGGGTCGGCAACCTTAAACACTCAAAGAGCCACTTTGGCCTGTTTCCTACAGAAAACAAAACACTGGGAGCCACAAAACCTGAGTGGGCATGGCCAACTTGATGTCACGCACACCAGACCCCCCCAGCCACGCCTACCCAGGTTTTGTGGCTCCGTGTTTTCTATGGGTAATAGGTAACTCCTTCTGTCTCTCTCCCTCTCTCCCATCTCTTTCTCCCTCTCTGTCTATCTCCCTCTCTCCCTCTTATCTTTATCTTTTTCTCATTTGTCTTTCTTTTTCTATCTCCCTATCACCCTCTCTATCTCACTCTCTTTCCTCTCTCATTTGTCTCTGTCTCTCTTTCTCTCCCCCCCTCTCTCTGTGTTGCTCTCTTTTGCTCCCTGCCTCTGTCTCTTCTCACACTCAGAAAGCCCTGCAGCCCTGAGTGCTCTCTTTGGGGCTTTTTGCCAGCTGTTTTTTTTCCCTTCCTTTTGGAAAGCTGGGCTGGCGGAGCAATGAGCGCAACCTGCGGAGGAGGCTTCCTTCCTCCTCCCCCCCTGCACGCCCAGACCGGATGTGGCGGGGCCGGGAAGGTACACACGAGAGGAGGGGGAGGGGCGGGAAGCCTCCACCGCAGGTTGCTCTCATTGCTCTGCCAGCCCGGCTTTCCAAAAGGAAGGGGAAAAAAAAACAGCCAGAGAAAAGCCCCAAAGAGAGTACGCAGGGCTGCAGGGCTTTCCGAGTATGAGAAGAGACAGAGGTAGGGAGTGAGAGAGAGTAACAGAGAGAGGGGTGGAGAGAGAGTGGGTTTCCCCTTCCCCCTAGGAAACGTAAGCAAACGGAAATATAGCTCTTTCTGAAAGAGCTGAGATCAGGGAAGGCACAGGAAACAGAAAGCGCCATGGGCAGGGGAATGCTTCCCCACGCCGCCCCCTTTTTTCTCTTGGCCCCACCGACAAGGGAGGTGGAAGGCCAGGCTTGGGGGGAATAGCCCCCACCCTGCAAGATCTGCCCCCGCTGTTCTCTCCCAGCAGCCCTTGATGATGGCAACAGCAAATGTACCAGGGGGAATGCTGTTGTCGCACAAAGGCAAGTGCAGGGGTGCTTTGCTCCTGCACTAAGGGTCCGACCATGCCACTGCCATGACAGGGAGCCATGGCAGAGGGCCCAAAGAGCCACATGCAGCCCCAGAGCTGCAGGTTGCAGATCCCTGCCCTAGACAAAACGAAAGCAGCCTATAAGGCTTAGGCAGACAAACAGAGAGTGTAGCATTTAAAGTTGGGGATCTGCACCCAATCTTCCATTGCAGCCTCTTAAAATCCAAAGTGACCTCAGTCTTATGACCCACGCCCCACCCTTACCACAACCCATTATGGTAGAGGGCAAACAACACTTTGAGATTAAACAGATTCTTGATTCAAGATGGCACCATGGATCCACCCAGTATTTAGTGGCCAGGAAAGACCTCCCTACATCTCAAAATGAGTGGGTTCACAAAAAACACAGAGCCGCTAGATTAATCGAGTGCTTCCACCAACTCTACCCTGACAAACATAACTGTTTTATTATTGTCTTCCACTTCGTTATTTTTTTTGTCTAGAGGTGGATGTCTCCTTTTCTTAGAGGGGCAGCATGTCAACTCCCGTTGATCTCTGTCGGGATCTTGCCATTCTGGAGGGAGGGAGAGGATTCGGGCTACGCTTGCATATTTTTTTCCTTTGTTCTTGTTCTGTGCTTTGATGTACCTTTGGGATGTTGGTAGGTGGGAAGGAATGTGCCTTGGGCCATCTGTTTTGTCTCACCACTGGAGGAGCAAGATCATGGTGCCTGGGAACCATCTGTTATCACCTTCTCAGCCTGAAGTTCTCACAACATCTTTGCACTTTGGGATTGGCTCAAAGATGAACTGGACATTGGGAGGGGCCCTGGAATGAGCAGATTAACCTAACACTCCAGCACACAAAATTCAGATTCTGCCTACACTCTTTCTACTATCGCTATCTTCCAGTAAAAGTTCCTTTTGAAATGCCGTTCATTTCAAGAGTATTGCTTTCTTGAGAAGGCTGGCAAGGCAGGACCTTACAGTTCTATTTCATTATTTCACTTCCACCCATTCCTCTAATATATCAATATCATACTGAATTTTATTTCTGTGTTCTGGGATATTATCTATCTCATCCAATATTGGGTAATCTACAAATTTGGCAGCATAATTGCCCCTATTCTTCAAATTCATTCATAAGAATACTGAAAAAAGAGGACCCAAAACATTTCTTTGAAGAACCCCACACAGAATCTCTCTCCAGTGTGATAAGAAACCACTGGCAAACACTGTTTATGCATTTTGAGACAGTTATGTATATATTTTAATTATCCTGCCATCCAGCCTAAATGGTATATCATTAAGTTCTTGTCAGATGATTTGCTGATGTCTAAACTTTTTTTACTTTTATTTAATTTGTATACCTCCCTTCTCCCGAAGGACTCAGGGCGGTGAACAGCCAACAATAAAATACATACATACAAAATTTAAAAAACAGAACTAAAATTGAATTAAATAATTTGGCCCAAACAGATTAAAACCCCAATCAATTTAAAACAGATTTAAACTTTGAAAATTAAAAGATATTAAAAATATTAAAATATTAAAATTGTTTAAAAATTGTTTAAAAAGAGGGAGAAAGTTAGGCCAGGCCCGCCTGGTGAAATAAAAAGGTCTTTAGAGCGCGGCAGAAGGTGCGCAGATCCGGGATCCTCCATATCTCCGGGGGGAGCTCGTTCCAGATAGTAGTGCCCCCACAGAGAAGGCTCTCCCCCTGGGGGCCGCCAGTTGACATTGTTTGACCGACGGCACCCGGAGTAGCCCTTCTCTATGAGAGCGTACCGGCCGATGGGAGGCTATTGGTGGTAGTAGACGGTCCCACAAGTACCCAGGTCCTGAGCCATGGAGCACTTTAAAGGTGGTAACCAAAACCTTGAAGCGCACCCGGAAGACCACCGGGAGCCAGTGCAGCTCGCGCAGGAGGGGTGTTACATGGGAGCGCCATGTCACTCCCATTACCACCTGCGTGGCCGCACTCTGCACCAGTTGGAGCCTCCGGATGCTCCTCAAGGGGAGCCCCATGTAGAGAGCGTTACAATAGTCCAGGCGGGAGGTGACAAGGGCATGAGTGACCGTGCGTAAGGAGTCCTGATCCAGAAAGGGACGCAACTGGCGAATCAGGCAAACCTGATGAAAAATCCTTCCGGTCATGGCCGTCAAGTGCTCTTCTAAAGACAGCCGTGAATCCAGGAGGACGCCCAAGTTGCGCGCCCTCTCCGTGGGGGCCAATGATTTGCCCCCAATAGTCAGTGATGGCACCAACTGACTATATTGGGACGTCGGAAACCACAGCCACTCGGTCTTGGATGGGTTGAGCCTGAGCCTATTCCTCCCCATCCAGATCCGCACGGCTTCCAGGCACCAGGACATCACTTCAAGGGCATCGTTGGGGTGGTCTGGGGTGGAGATGTACAGCTGGGTGTCATCAGCGTACTGGTGGTACTTCACCCCGAAACCACAGATGACCTCGCCCAGCGGCTTCACATAAATGTTGAACAGGAGGGGCGAGAGGACCGACCCTTGCGGCACCCCACATATGAAGGGCCTCGGAGTTGACCTCTGCCCCCCTGTCAACACAGACTGTGACTGGTCAGAGAGAAAGGAGGAGAACCACTGCAACACAGTGCCTCCCACCCCTAACTCTTCCAACCGGTGCAGCATGATACCATGGTCGATGGTATCAAAAGCCGCTGAGAGACCTAATAGGACCAGGACAGAGGAGTATCCCCTGTCCCAAGCCCTCCAGAGATCATCTACCAACGCGACCAATGCCGTTTCCGTGCTGTACCTGGGCCTGAAGCCCGACTGGAATGGATCCAGATACGTCGTTTCATCCAGGTGCTGGGGGAGCTGTTGTGCAACCACACTCACAACAACCTTCGCCACAAAGCGAAGGTTGGAGACCGGACGATAGTTTACCAACATTTCTGGGTCCAGGGAAGGCTTCTTGAGGAGAGGCCTCACCACCGCCTCTTTCAAGGCGGCGGGAAAGTCACCCTCACCCAACGAAGCATTTATAATCCCCTGGAGCCAGCTTTGCGTCACCTCCCAGGAAGCCAACACTAACCAGGAGGGGCACGGGTCCAATAAACAAGTGGTCGCGTTCAGTCTGCCCAGAATCCTGTCCACGGATGTCTACAACACTCCCAATATGTCTACAACACTCCCAAAACCTATTCATTTTCGTTATCCAATCAAAAACTGAGGCAAGATTAGTCTAGCAAGATTTAATATTGGCAGATCTATGATATATAGTAATAAATCTCTCCCCCCCCTCTCTATACATACATACATACATACATACATACATACATATATATATATATATATATATATATATATATATATATATATATATATCCATTAAGCTACAGTGTAATAGATTCTGCTCCTTTAACCTGCGCTGGTAAAGTACATACTTTTTTTTGTCAGAGAAAACTGAACCAAAATAGGAATTGAACAGCATACTATTTAAGTATGCATTAACTTAGCAGCTGAAAATTAAGAATTCCAGCATTACATAATCATTTTCCCACAGTTGCTGTATTAGTCACTCCTCAACTAAATTTTCCAACTGATGGAACTGAATGCCTTTTGGATAGAACTATTAATAAAAGGTCAATGTTTGAAATAAAAGATAATACATGAATTGAGCAGATATTTGAGAAGGTGCTATTGAAAAACAGCGTAGACAGACAAATGGGAATGAAGAAGCATCAGTTGCGAAGTTTAGCATGCCAATGCAGCAAGAGTATTCAGATGTTCAAATTTCAGTGTTCCAATTGGCTAATTCTTTGGAAATTTAGAGAACAAGCTAAGAAATAAATAAGAAGGGATAGATAGGAATTAGGTAAATTTCCACACAAGGCCCATTCCCTGACTTCTGCCCAAGTCAAAATAAATCAATCTAAAAATACACGGGGAAAAATGTAATAATAATTCTTTTGCAAATTCAGCAAAAAGGACTAACAAAACCCATCATATTTTGAGACTTAGATTCTGCCTCTGGATCTTAAAATCTGATCTTCACTGACCAGGCAACAAAAATGATGCCTGGTCAGATTCTTTCTGAATAATTTGCTGATGCTGAGTGATGTGTCTTTTTCCCCCCCCTAGATTTCGTGTCACCCATATTGAGAAAAAAACCGTTTCCCATGAATCCCAGGAAGAATCCTTTCATGAGAACAAGCCGGATGTAGCTGATACAAACCAGGAGACTTATAGCAATGAGAAACTTCAATGGACTGGGTCACAGAATGGAATTGTTCATACAGATGGAGTACAGGAAAGAAAATTAGTTCAGCCAGATTCTGAAAGACCACCAAAGGAGACTACTGTAGATGATTTAACTCATTTAAATTTAACAGCCAATACAAATATAGCCATCAATGAAACAGAGGGAGGATACCCTAAGGCACATTCTTCACAAGAAGCAATAAACTCTGCTGCTAGTTATGCAACTGAGACTAACTCCACTCCAGGACCCAAAGATCTTTCATCAGAAGAGCTAGAGGAGGATAAAAAAGCTGAACAGATGGGCCATCAGAGAGTAGTTTATGAAGTATCAGATAACAAACAAGGACAAGTTCTTTCAATAGGACCCGAACTGGAAATTTGCTCAGTAGAGCAAGTGGCATAAAGCATCAGGTAGTTATTTTTAATTTCTTTCTTGTTTTCTCCTATGTGCATCAAGAAATTCACAATCTGAATTTTGTTCTTTCAGTATATAAAGTCATTAGAAAAATATAAATCAAATATTGATTAACACAACAGTTCTAAAGGTATACAGTGTGCTGAGGCTATTGAAAGAGCTGGGATAGTGTTGCATAAATTCCCTTGTGAAAATGGTGAAATAAGGGTAATATCTTTAGGGAAATTGAAATGCCAAATAAGTATACATTTTTAAGAATTGTGGAACTCCAAAAACACAATTTTCAGTGAATACTGGGTATGTGTAATGATAGTAGTTTCCTGATATGGTACTCTCTTGTTGACTTGTGACTGATGATTTCTTGAGATGAATTATGCCACAAAAATCCTGAAAGCAATATCAAGAGACTACTGTAGGCAGGAAAGCCAAAAGGAGCCCAGATGATGTTGTTATCTGTACTTCTGATGGAAGGTCAACCGCTGGTTTAAGGGAGGTGCCATAGAAAGAACTGCAGATTTTGGGACCATGGTTTACCGTATCTACAGAAAGGGCTTCTGGCAGGGGATGGACTCCAACCCACAAGAGCTGGGAAGAATGTGTTTGGAATGTGTTTCTAGTTTTAGTTTAAAGACCTTGGATAAGCTAAGCCAATTGGCTTAGTGTTGTGGTCCGCCAGCAGCCAGCAGAGCTGGCAGCAGAGTTAGACAGTGAGGAGGTTGGGGAGGAACATGGGCCGGTCCTGGGGGCTGAGGAAGGCTCGGATGAGGGCTCTGCATCAGAGGCAGAGGGGGAGCTAGACAGCAGTGAGGCAGAAGTGTTGTGACTCCGACCTCCGAGCCCGTCTTATCGGAGGGAGAAGACTCCGAAAGTGAAGGAGAGGAGTTGGCAAGGCCTCCCTCTCCAGGACCCTCCTCTCTGGCAATGCCTCAGGTGTCTTCCGAAGGAGAAGAGAAAGGCCAGGAGCCAAGCACTTCCGAGCAGCCACAGTTAGACAGCGACGGAGATAAGTCTTGGCTGGATCCCCGACAGCGTCAGAAAGACAAGCGCGCGCAGCAGAGAAGGAGGCGTGCCAGAGATTAAGCTGAGTCACTGGACCACACCCCACAGGGGATAAAAGGGGGTGTGGTGGCCATTCAGGCTTTGTGACGGACAAAACTGAAAGCTAGCAAGTCATTCTGCATTTCTGGAACTTTGTTATATGCTCTGCTTGGATGGATTCTTGGACTGGATTTGACTATTCTTTGGCTTTTGTGGACTTACTTTGATGTTTTCGGAGGAGATAAACCTCCCTTTGTAAGTAAAAACTTTTGGCAGGCAGCCACTGGGTTGCTGCCAATTCTGCTATCAAAGGAAATTCTTGTCTGCTGGTTTATTTTAACTCTTGGTCGACTGCTGGTGTGCGTGTGTGAGACGGGGACAGAACAAGAAGAACAGCTGGAGCCCAGTGTGCGCATGCACAATTCCCAGTGTATGCATGAACAGAGTGCCAGAAGACAAGAACAACTAAGAAAGCAGGATCGACTTGGGAGTAAAGCCACACCTTGGAGGTGATTGGCCCCTCCCATAGAAAACAAAAGAGGAGTGAGCAGGGAGTGGGCTTTTGCAGGAAACAATTCATTCGTTTGGTCATTTCAAGAGTGGAAAGTTCTGTTTGTGACTAAGAGACTCTGTGCCAAGTTTTGCCTTACACTATGTTTGGTATCTGGCAGCATTCCAAGCGAGATAAGGTTCATGTTGATAAATATTCCTCTGAAAGACTGTTTGCCCGGCCTTGCTGATGGTGAATGAAAGGAATTCACAGTCGTGTAAATAAAAGGGGGTTTTGCCAGGACCAAGACTCTGCTTCATGCTTTTTAAGGAAGCCTAGGTCAGAACCCTTAGCTTATCCAAGGGCTTTAAACTAAAACTGGAAGGGAGGGGAAGTAGACAAATCTTCAGGAAACATAAACCTCAAACATAAACCCCACAATAACCAATCAGACAACAAGGAAGGAAATGGCAAGAAGGAAGAGGAACAAGCTATTCTCCAAAGCACCTGACGGTAGGACAATAAGCAATGAGTGGAAACTAATCAAGGAGAGAAGCAACTTAGAACTGAGGAGAAATTTCCTGACAGAACAATTAATCAGTGGAACAACTTGCCTTCAGAAGTTGTGAATGCTCCAACACTGGAAGTTTTTAAGAAGATGTTGGATAACCATTTGTCTGAAGTGGTGTAGGGTTTCTTGCCTAAGCAGAGGGTTGGACTAGAAGACCTCCAAGGTACCTTCCAACTCTGTTATTCTATTCTAACTCGGTTACAAAATAAGAGAAATAGGAAGCAAACAAAATATCAGCCATAAAGGACTCAGATGCCTATACACTATTGCGCAAAGTATGGGGAACAAACAGAGGGAACCTGAAGTCCTAGTACATGAGAGAAGGTATGATATTGTTGCTATTACTGAAACCTATTTATATTTCACATTTCTGAACTGCCCATCTCCCTCAAGGAAGGACTCAAAACTTGATGGGATGGAACCCATGAGTCAAAAGTACTTTTAGAAAGATATAAATTGTTTTAAAAAATAGATCAAACAAAAGAGGAGGGGTAATTGCATTGTCCATAAGAAATCACTGCTCCTCTACTGAAATACACAGCACCAAGGAGGAAACCCTTCTCAAATATGTTAGAGGAAAAATAAATGACATAAGTGTATACTGCAGACCATCCAACCAAGCAGAGGAAATTGACGAACTGTTTTCTAATCAGTTAGTTAAGGTATGCAGAAACATACCTCTGTAGTAATGAGGGACTTTAATGACCCTCATTACTGACATCAACCGGGGGACAAACTGTGCAGCAAGTGGGAGATCAAATGTCTAGTTGACACTTTTGTCACCCAAAAGGTAGATTAGGGAACTGTGGGGGTCAAGTATACCGGACTTAATTCTTACCAATAGGGATGAAATGATTGAAGGGATAGAAGTTGTAGAAACCCGGGGGTGAATAACTATGTCATACTAAAATTCAACATAATGCAGGCACAGGTAATTGAACCAAGTCACTAGATTTAGACTTTAAGAGAGCTCACTTCAACAAATTAAGAGAGAGATTAGGAAGGATTCCATGGATAGAAGGGAAAAACAAGAGCCATGGGAATCTGAAAAATGAGTTCATAAAAGCCCAATAAAACACAATACCACAGAGAAATAAAACGAGATCCCAGACCAAACCTGCATGCACAATGGACTCTGACAAACTGAAAGAAAAATGGACAAATATAAAAAAGGGAAAAAGGGAAACATAACCAAAACAGAATATCAGCAAATATCCTATATCTGCAAACAGAGTCAGGTTCAGAATAAACTAAGACTTGCCATAAATGTCAAAAATAACAAAAATAAGTTTCTTTCAATATACAGAACAGAGAATTGGAAAGGACATTGGAAGTCTTCTAGTCCAACCCCCTCCCCAAGTAGGAGACCCTATACCATTCCAGACAAATGGCTGTCCAATTGCTGCTTAAAAACGTCCAATGATGGAGCACCCACAAGTCATTTCACTGATTGTTCTGACTCTCAAGAAATTTCTCCTTAATTCTAGGTTGGAATCTCTCTTTCATAATTTTCCATCCTTACTTTTTGTTCTGCTCTCAGGTACTTTGGAAAATAGGTTTCCCTTTTCTCTTAAGACTACTATCAATTAACCCTAGTCCTTCATTAGACTACACATATCTAGTTCCTGCAACTGCTCATCATAAGATTTAGCTTTCAGTCCCCTAATTATTTTTGTTAGTCTTCTATGCACTCTTTCTAGAGTGCCAACATCTTTTTTGTGTTGTGGTGACCATAACTGGGTCCAGTATTCTAATTGTGGCCTCACTAGTGCAGTAAAACTAAACTAAAGCAATAAAACTGTGATCTTGATACTGTCCCTGTATTGATGCAGTCTAGGACTGCATTGGGTTTTTTTTGGCAGCTGCAGTATACTGCTGGCTCATACCTAAGTGGTTGCCACTAGGAAACCTAGATTCCTCTTATAGATATTGTTATTGAGCCATGTACCACCTATTCTATACCTGTTCACTGGTTTTTTTCTTGATTAAGTGCAAAACCTTACTTTTCTCACCACTGAATTGCATTTTGTTTAGTAGAGCCCAGTGTTAAAGTCTGTCAAGATTTTTCTGGATCTTGAGCCTATCTTCTAAAGTGTTGACTATTCTCCCCAGCTTGGTAATATCTTCAAATTTGATGAGTTCCCCTTCTATTCCCTTCATTTATTCACCCCTTTCCTATTATTTAGATAATAAATAAAACTGGCACAAGTTGCCAACGAAGATGAAGGGAAAGCAATATTTTTATTTTTGGGTAATATATTTAGTGGCATAAAACTTACTTAAAAACAGAAAAAGAATTACCGGTATGTGATTGTCCTGTGAGGCATTTGAAATGTAAGCATCACAAAAGAGGTATAAACAAAAGACAGATCTTTTGAGGAATTCTTCACTGATGTAAATCTGCTAAACCTGGATTATAATTTTGCACATCTCCCTGAATCCTCATTTAAAAAAACAGCAACAGGCTGTGCCTGTTAGCAAGTAATTATTTTATTAAACTCATTAAGGTATAAAATATAACATGAAAATAAGGGGAAAGGAGGAAAGAAAGAAATTTAGGATAAGTGGGGGGGGGGGGGAAACCATTAACTCCCAACTATTTTCAGTGCAGCACAGTAGAATGAACATAATAACATTACAGCCTCAACTTTTTATACTTTGTATACTCAGTATCACAGAATAACAGAGTTGGAAAGGACCATGGAGGCCCTATATCATGCCAGACAAATGGCTGCCAGTCTCTTCATAAAAACCTCTAGCAATGGAACACCCACAACTTCTGAAGGCAAGTCGTTCCACTGATTGATTGTTCTCACTGTCAGGAAATTTCTCCTTGATTAGTTTCCATCCATTGCTTCTTGTCCTTCTTTCAGGTGCTTTGGAGAATAGGTTGACCC